TATTATAGACTGTTAAAATTTTGTAGAATTGTGAATAGTGGAACATACTCAAAAAACAATTTTAAAATATAGTAACAGACGCAAAATTATCTCTTTTGAATGCTTTGAAAGATTTAGCAAGGCTGTACATAAATAATAAAAAAGAAACATGGTGAAAAAAAGAAATGAGGGGGTCTCCATATTATGCACTATATTTAACTTTTTACAAAACGATAATACATTTAAATTTGGAACTGTTACAGCCATTTTAATTATGAGCATTATCAAACGTCTTACTGAGTGAATTGTTATGCAAATTAGCAATTATCTCAGCTTCTTTTTAGTGCACATCCCAGGACTTTAAAAAAAATAGCTCCTAGAAGCTTTGACCTTTTGTTTTGAAATTTTCACAAATGATTGACAATGTGTTTATCTTCAAACCGCCGTCGGGGCATTGTTTTTAGTTGAACAGTGTTACAACAATCGTACAGACAACTAGCCTGGGTATTAATATGCATAAACGTGAAGTAGTGAAATTTGAGCTGCTGCCCTGCAAAATTAACAACTGGTAGACAGTTTTCAAGACGACACTTTCTTCATAGTAAACAGATGTACCCATTAACCAATTTTGACAGGAAACAGAAGCATAGTTTAGAAGCTATTTTTTTTTAAATCACTTTTGACCAAAAAAGCACATTTTTGTACATATTTCAAACTAGTGTCTATAAAAAAAAAACTACTAACAAAATTTTAAAATTCATACAATAAGCTTTATTTATAATTCCGAAAATATATAGTTTTGTGAACAAGGAAGATCATCTTGATTTCCTAATTAACAAATTAAAATACCTGTCAGGTTAACTGCATCTCTACCTTAAGAAAAAACATACAAAACAAATAACTGTTATTTACTTTACAGAGTTATTTGTTATATGGTTAAAAAACGTGCAGAAAATAAACATATAAAACTACAAAATAAAACTACCTGCTAACACTGGGCGCCCTACATGGATAGAATCATGAATGAATATAATGATGAAATTAAATAAAAATATGAGAAATAAAAATATGGTTTTCCAATCCAGTCGCATCAATTAATACAACCAAGGACAAAACGTGTGTTTGGTGCAGGTATGCTGCACATCTGGAAAGAAAAATACATGCAATGTAATACATGATATCATTACTATTTTCACGTTTTGTTTTATATTGCCATGTCTAAGTTTGGTTGCAGCGCTAAATTCATCAGAATTATTCTGACACAGAAACTACAAAGAAGAACAAGAAACAGTCACACTATTCTGTCCTCAGTTGTACACAATGTGAATCACATTCAGCACTTTTTGTTCGTCAAGTACATTTTTTTAGAAGTATGCTTTCTATGGCTAGATCATTCCCCAAAAATATTGAATATAGCAATTTTGATAACATTTTTATATTACACTTACCGCTAGCTTCGGGGCAGAAGTCTTTCCTTCTGGATGTTCTGAAACTCTTGAATTTATCACCGGCTTTTATCACGTTATTATACAACAGAAACGCATCACCAGCAGATTTAGGACCTTCCTCGGCGGCTTTGAACTTGTTTGACTCCTTTAACCAGGGTTCATTGTTTGATTTTGGTTTCTCTTCAAGCTCCAATGCGGCAACATTATCTAAACCTTCCACTGTGTCGCCCAGTGATGGGTGGATCCTTTTCCGGCGATGCGATTTCTTTTTACTGCTTTTTTTCTTTTCATCATCAGAACTCATTTTGGAGGGTCACCTAGTGAACAAAATAATTAGGTAATGTAATGAAAAAAAAAAATTCCGGGCATTTTAATTTTTTTTATAGTTTTTTTGTAAAAGTTCTGATATTATTCACAAGTTTGTTAAAATGCATAAATTAGGACAAAAATAGTCTTTATTTTATCACATGTGAATAGTAATTTAATTTCCATGCTGGCTGTCAAATGACTTTGAAACATAAAATTCTGAAAGTGAATACGATTGTCATCAAATGAATTCAACTGATATTCTTTGCAGTGTATTTAGACAGATTACACAGTTTTGAAAGCAAGCGTTTCAAGCCAGCTATACTAAATTACACTTGGATCACCTTGTATGTGCATTTTTCCCTGTAGAATTTTCTTTTTCTTTTTTTTTTTATTATGGAAGATTTTACAAGACACCAAGATTTTCAATGGTACAGTGAAAGACTACATGTAGTTTTATAATGACAATGTATGAAGAAAGCGCTGTATTTTTAGCGTGATCTTTATTGTAAAAACTACTATAAACTTAAGGAGAACACTTTTTAAACTTGGTTACGTACACTGCTGTCTTTGTAACAAATCTTTATTCAAAGTTGATTCAATAGTTTAAATGTAGGTTTTTGTTTCAGTTTAGACAGTGATCAATTAAAGAGCGGCAGTCGTCGCGCCGTGTCCTGTTCGATATGGGACTCATAGCGACATATACAACGCGTGTAAAATACATGATTGTTCATTTACATGAAATTCGAACACGCACTGTGTGATGACCACCGCGCTTTAAATGTTGATCAATGTGCAATACATTAACTTTGACTTAATTTACAAACAGGCTAAAATCTGGCTAAATCTTTTCACGAAAACATAAGTGGTAAAGCAAGTATCATAACCATCAATAATTTTGACTTATTTTTGTATTATTTACTTATGCTACAAATATGAGACATACTTAGGTAGATTACTCTGAAGAAATTAGATACTGTACAATACATTATTTTGGCTTGGAATTTATTTTTGCTATTTTTGCTGAAGGGCTGCTTCAGTGAAAATAAAATCCAGCGAATATACTTTGTTTCCTATGTCTCACATTTAACTCATCAGTGAAAATAAATCCCATATAAAATACACAAAAAGCTTTTTCAGGGAAAATTAATTACAGCTAAAATAAAGTATTTCACAGTATGTGTCAGTTTTGAAAACAAGCTTAGCTAGTTATAAGGCAGCTTAAAGCTAGCTAAATGTTGAGTTACGCTGGACCCAAATTAAACCATTAGAACAGTATGATGGTTTTAAGTAAGAATGCATTCTATTTCCAAGTATTATTAAAGAAAAATATTTGAAAAAAGGTCAGTTTTATTATGAAAAATACCGGTAGTTATCAAGTGAGGTAATAGTTACAAATCCTTTTTTATTTTGCATTTTTAAATACCTGTGCGCAAAGGAAAAATTAATTGTGTTATGTATATTTTCATTTTTGGGTGTAAATAATACAATACAATACAAAGAATTATGAATTTTCATGGAAACGTAACCAGTTTTGGTATATTAGCAGCATTACAACTGACTTGAAATGAAAAACAAATCTTGGAAGTTAGCAGGGATACCAGTTTGGAATATTGAATGGTCAGTTTAGTAGACACATGTATGTGTACAGTGTATGTGACCACATGAATACTAGACTCTTGTCTTGTCTCTTGCTTAACTTTTGGTGATTTTTCAATAAAATGAAATAGTGTATAAATAGCAAAAGCCTGGTTACCACGAAATCAACAAGAGACTTGTGACCCTTGCAAAGGGTTCTCTTGCTATTAATATTAATGAACACTTCAATGAAATCACAAAGTAGCTTAATTTCAGTTTATGCACAGCTTCTATCAAGATTAATCTAACTCCAATTATGACTTTAGTGCCAGACAGGTGACAAACATTATTAGTGTCACAAGAGGACATCTACAAAGATCATAAGTAAATTGTTTATTTTGCGGTAACACAGTTTTCATGGTAACCTTGCCATTTATATATATTCCCCGATTTGTTATTTTATTAAAAAAACAACAACAAAAGACTGTATGCAAGTCATGTATGTATGAATTAGTGCACATCATAAAAACTATGTAAGCGCCAATGCTATCTATTACTGTAGAATACTTTATTTTCGCTTGGAATTTATTTTCGCTATTTTCGCTGAAGGGATGATTTCGTGAAAATAAAATCCAGCAAATATACTTTTTTTCCTATAGTTCACATTAAACTCATCAAAAATCAGTGAAAATAAATTCCATACAAAATGCCCAAAAAGCCTTTTCAGCGAAAATTAATTCCAACGAAAATAAAGTACCGGTATTCCACAGTATGTATGAATTAGTGCACATCATAAAAACAATGTAAACACCAATCCTATCTTTTATTTTATTTTATTTGTTTTGCATTTTA